GTACTACGCAGCCTCGCGTGTGTATATTTCGATGGTTAAGCCCGCGGAAGACCCGCTTAATGATAGGTTTAGATCGCACAACGCGTTATCTAAGTACAACAGCCGGTCGATAATATCGGTTTTTGTTTTACTGTAATTTTTTTTCTACTTATCTCCTATCTCTTTTCTTATATATCGTGCTGTCTCTGTCACTCGGCGGTGACGCGAACAAAATTTTTTTAGTGACGCATAAATTCAAATTGAGAAGTATTATTCTCTCTATGTTTTTTGCTTCAGCGTAAAAAAAATAAAAAAAAAATTCAAATATGTCTTAATCGATTTTCGTTTTGAATGTTGCCAGCGCCGTCGTTGTTCTCGTCTCGTCACGTTGTCATCATTGACTTTGTTTTTTCTTTTATTATGTTTTTTTCCACAGCCACCGCGCAGTTTATGAGCGCTAGGAAAATTTCTGTGACGTCACAGACTCGAATAGATCCCAGCGCAAATACTAGAATTTTCTCGTCTCTGATATCTAATAATTTAAATCAAACAAACAACGCTGTCTCCATTATTGTCTTATCTCTCGGCAAACACGCCTGCGCGCGTTGACTCCCAGTCGCATTCAAATCGAAGAACTGTCTATACTTGAAGGACCATAGACAGAAGTTGTATCGCTTGAGAACCGAAACTGGGACCCTGGTTAGGGAGTCGCAGGTCGTGCGAACGCGGCGCAGAGAGCGGCAGTATTTGCAAAGGCATATGCCACCTTCTGTATGCGCCTTAACACTCTTGCTTACACGCAAACGCAGGTAGAATGGCATATGTAGGCTTTTGTCTTGACGTATAGCACAGAAAAAAAAAAAAAAAACTTCGCGCCAAACAGTTTTTTTATATTTCGAACGCACCACAAATATGTATATCCGCTTCTAAACAAACTATGACACTAGTTCGATTTTCGAAATGAATCGAACGCCAAAATGTCTGCCGCGTTTTATTTCGCGCGCTCTCACCGTATTCAGCACGCGACAACGAAACTCTGCATTATGAAGAGCCGGTAAATGTACGATTTCGATTCCATGATGGAATTTTGAAATTAAAAAAAAAAACTATCTCATCACTCGAGTCTCTGGAGAACGGGGCAAGAAAAAAAAAACTTCAAAAAAGTAAATTCAAAACAAAAAAAATTCTAGACCAACTGTTTTCGCTAACGTAACGACGCGGTATGCGAAGTGAAGCTAGAAGAAGCCTTATTCTGTACGATGTATAAATGCGACAATGAACACACACACACATACACATAAGTCGCTCTTATCGTCTTAATAATACAATAATATATTATTTGCACAGAACCAGATAAAACGTGAAGCCTAAACAAATATTGAAAAGTTCAAATTTAGAAGTGGCGATTAACAATTTGAATTCTTTTGTTGTTTGTGCGAAGCGATTCGAATTTTACGTAATTTTCCCTCCGACGCGACGCGATCGCGCGCCCGCGGGAATGATTTTATTTTATTTTTTTAAAATTCGATTTACACGTGTTTTCGAATTTCGAATTTGGAAGTTTTTTTCATTCGTTCTGCATTCGATTTTCGATTTTAGATTACATTCTTCACCGTGGAAGTCAATCGTGAACATTTGTTGAGTACGTATTTCATTAGAAAAATTGGTACCCGCCTGCGAGATTCGAACACCGGTGCATCGCTCGATACGAATGCACCGGACGTCTTATCCTTTAGGACACGACGCCGACGACTTCATTCGACTAATCTTATAACAATCTAAATAGAAATTATTTTTTATAAAATTTTACACAATGACATTATTGTTTATCTGTCAAGGCTTCTCGACTTTACAGCACATGCGCGGACGTTCCGGCACGTGTCGACAGCGCATGCGTGACATAATTCAAATTAAAGAAATGAATAACTTTCTTTACATGTATACAGCATTCTATACTAATATTATAAAGAGGAAAGATTTGTTTGTTTGTTTGTTTCGAATAGGCTCCGAAACTACTGGACTGATTTGAAAAATTCTTTTTCCATTAGAAGCCGACATTGTCCCTGATGAACATAGGCTACTTTTTTTTTAAAAAAAATTATTTTATTTTTTTGGTTTCATGTGTGTTTGAATGTTTCCGAAGCGAAGCGAGGGCGGGTCGCTAGTACTATTATAAATATATATTGAGGGATGAAAAACTATTTGTTTTAAGCGCAATTTATCTTTGCAATTAAAGGTCCGTTTTATTCGGTATCAGCGTCAACAGTTCGATGTTTCGGCTCTCCTGTAAGTTTTTTTTTATTGTCCTTTTAGGCAGACGAGCCACCTGATGATGAGTGGTTACCGTCGCCCATGGACTTCAGCAATGCCAGGGGCAGAGCCAAGCTGCTGCCTACCGCTTAATACTCTCCACAAGTCTCGTTTGAAGAAGGACATGTCAGTTACAAAAAGCAAAGTAAGGAAGTAAGTTACAAAAAGTCATTTAAACCAAATACCCTTTCACCCCTCGATATAAATTATCTATAATATAAAAATGAATTGCTGTTGGTTAGTCTCGCTAAAACTCGAGAACGGCTGGACCGATTTGGCTAATTTTGGTCTTGAATTATTTGTGGAAGTCCAGAGAAGGTTTAAAAGGTAGAGGTAAATATGAAAATACCCGGAATTAAATAAAAATAACTATTTTGTTTTTCCTTTGACGTGTCCCCCGTCGGACGGATTTCTTTTGTTTGTTTTAAGTTTATTTTATACAAAAGTTTACCTAAAGCATTTATCGATTGAGGCACTGCGAAGTCTGCCGGGTCAGCTAGTATTAAATAATAATTGTGACTTAGATATAATGTGTCAAGTCGGATGGCGGCATAAGTCTATGGATACTGGTAACCGCTTAACGCGAGGCGGGCCGTGAGCTAGCTACATAGTCCAATAAACAAATGTAAAATAAATAAAAAAACGATGTATCAAGGCCCGACGATAATAATATCATTATAATTAAAAAGGATTAAAAAATCAATGTGCAATTTTGAATTTAATTTATCTTTTAGTACAAGATAAAAACGAAAAAAAGCGGACCCTTATCTAAAAGAATTCAGCGTAAAACACAATCGACTTTAACGTTTCCGGGGTCGAATTATCGAGATTAATAAATAAAATATTTTATTTTTTTCATTGTCATTACCTACGCACAGAACATTCGATAGTGTCGTAAAGATGCGGTAGGCAGCGGCTTGGCTCTGCCCCTGGCATTGCTGAAGTCCATGGGCGACGGTAACCACTCACCATCAGGTGGGCCGTATGCTCGTCTGCCTACAAGGGCAATAAAAAAAAAAAAAGAAATTCCGAACCATCGATAAATCGACTCCCTATTGATGCCTCTAAAGTGCGAAGCGTCGGAATACCGACTATTGCCCAGTTCGATTAGAGGTATTAAGTATCAAACTGTACGGACGTGTCTTTTTTTCTATCTATGCTGATAGTCTTGAGAGGCTATTTCAGCTTCAGCCTAACGTGTAGGTGAGCTCACGGGGCTCAGACCGGAGTGTTCCTAACACTGGCCCTAGCAAGACCGGTGCTTCGTAGAATCTACCACCGGATCGGAAAAGCGACCCACTGAGGAGATCAGGCGAGAAGGTGTCTTAGAGCGTGCCAATAACGTTTTTAATGAGTTAATAACGTTTATAAAAAACCATTCAAATTTTATTTCGCTGTGAATAATTTAGCATTGATTTTTAAGCTATTGCATAGCTTCTATCGCGGGCCTTGAGCGCGGCGACTGAATCAAGAAATTCCGTAACGAAAATAACCTGACACCCCCACTACGCCTACTGTGTAGCTCGCGTTCAACACATTCACACGTTGCGCTGGTGTAGTGTTTGTGAATAAGCGCGTGGCGTGACGTCGCACTGCATGAGCATCATGAAAAGTCTGCCCATCTCTCTCTCGCGCGGTCTAGCTTATGAGAGTGAAGGGGACAGTTAATGATTTGCTTTTTTTAATGTTTATAAATATAGCGTGGTCTTATTTTTATTATTGTTTTAATATTAAATTATTATTGTCTAATGGTAATTGCATAAGTTGATAAAAATGCTTTGCAATAGCTTTACCGCCGCAGTCCTCGAGTGCCACACGTCTTTTTTTTTTAAATTAAAGTCTTTTATAAAGTACAAATTTATTTTTCTTCAAAAATCCTTAAGGAATTTCTGCAAAATATATGAAAATAATTTCCTAACATATTTTTAAATGTATCGTGCCAAAATGGCGTTCGGAACGTTTTCAATTTTGCCGCGTAAAACTTTAGGTGCGCTGTAACTGCTAATCAGAGAAAAAAAAAAGTAGATTTAATCACATTCATATATCTATTTGTAACATCAGACGATTCCAACGAAATCAACATAAAAAAACACTAACCGTATTAAACCAAAAAGATACATACAAATTAATAAAGTTATTGAAACCGTTCGCTGTTGACATTTTGACGACAGCGCCATCTGTGACCAAATAGTGGAAGCCCGAATCGATATTGTATTTTATATATTGGCGCCATCTATACGTCGCCAACCTAAAACGTGAGACACGTTTCTGGTCTTTTGTGCTAGATGGCGCATTCAGTCTAAAAAATTAATTCTTCATCAGCGCCAAGAAAGTTGATTTTGGATTTTTAAAATCTAATTCACTATGATTGATACGGTGGTGCATTAGTTAATGGTTTTGACTGTTGACGCGTCGTGGGTGGTCAGTTAGATTCTCGCATCGGGCAAACATTGTATCTATGATAGTAGAAACTCTTGTGAGTCCGCGCGGGTAGGTACCACCGCCCTGCCTGTTTCTGCTGTGAAGCAGTAATGCGTTTCGGTTTGAAGGATGGGGCGGCCGTTGTAACTATACTGAGAACTTATATCTCAAGGTGGGTGGCGCGTTTACGTCGTAGATGTCTATGGGCTCCAGTAACCACTTAACACCAGGTAGGCTGTGAGCTCGTCCAACCATCTAAGCAATAAGAAAAAAGGTTCCAGTTGCCTGACCTTCATTCATCGCCATGTCCATCAGCTGCAGGTCCTCGTCGTTGAGGATCGACTGGAGGAAGCCGTCCTGGTTGACCGGCCCCGGCATCTCGGCGGGCGTGTTCTGAAACCAAGCGAAGTTATCAGGGTTTCTCTCGCAGCGGATCCCCCCATGACCCCATCTGATCCCCCGGCTTATACCAATAAGGACCGTCTTCTATTTACGAATTTTGCGGATATTTTTCTGGACCGATTTAAAAAAAAAGAGGCACTCGATTGTGTTTTTTTAATACGCTTTTATTAGCTTGAGACGTATGTATGTTAGTAGTATGTAACGGAATCTTGGAACATGATTTTGACCCCCTTAAAAACGTCGGATTAACTCGAAATTTCTACGGTATACTTATTAGGGACCGATGACAATTCAATATTGAAAAAATATAAATTCAACTAAAAAATTAAATATAAATAATAGTTTAAAAAAAACTAACAAAATACGCTTTTATAGAAAATCCAATTAGAAAATAGAAAATAAATATTAATAAATTTGAATTAAAAAAAAAGTGCAAGAAAAACTTAATTTAGTGTAAATTTGAATGAAATTTTCTGTGTACCTTCAGGTGGATTCGAGAATGGTTTAGATTTAAAAATCAGCCGGCAGACGGCGCTGCAGTCGATATCTAGGTTATTTATCTTTCCTAGAAATAATAAATATGGCAAAAAAACGTTTGCCGGGCCAGCTAGTCTATACATATATGTATATAATTATAATTATATTCTCGTTACCTGATAATAAACTCCATCCTGCTGTTGCGAGGGATGAGTACTCTCAACTTTGTAACCTCCTTCTATGGGAGCAGTTGCCCCTACTGGGAAAGAAAGAAAAAAAACTTTTTTTTTGTATTTCTGCAAAGGGCTCATGTGCCTGACTTTGAAGGGTGGACCTAATGGTGTACTGTCAAATGTGACCTTAGAGCTTCCTTCTCGAGGTGGGTGGCGGCATTTACGTCGTAGATGTCTATGGGCTCCGGCTACCACTCAATACTAGGGGTGGGGGACGTCGTCCCCGGGTACCCCGGTCCCCGTCGGGTAGCATGGATGAGCCTTTGCTAACAATAAGAGTAGGACCATCTTTCTACCACACTTTCCCTCGTCAAGGCAGAGTCATTGTTAGCGCTGTCATAAGCCAGTCTACCACCTAAAGGTCTAGAGGTCCTACCACCAGTACAAAAAACTGGTGGTAGGACCTCTTGTGAGTCCGCACGGATAGGCACCACCGCCCCGCCTATTTCTGTCGTGAAGCAGTAATGCGTTTCGGTTTGAAGGGTGGGACAGCCGTTGTAACTATACTGAGACCTTAGAACTTATATCTCAAGTGGGTGGTGCATTTACGTCGTAGATGTCTATGGGCTCCAGTAACTACTTAACACCAGGTGGGCTGTGAGCTCGTCCACCTATCTATGCAACAAAAAAAACACGTTTTAAATCTAGAATGAAATCCTCTAAACTTTGACTCACCCTTCTAAAAACGAAGAGAGAATCCTCTGCAGTAACAATGTTCCGACATGACTCACCATCAGCAACTTACCGTACGCATCCGGATGTTTATCGGCCACCGGAGCCGGGAGGGGTGCGTGCGGCGCGTGCGGCACGTGAGCAGCGTGAGGTCCGTGAGGTCCGTGGGGTCCGTGAGGTCCGTGGTAGTTCGGAGCGTAGCCGGCCGCTCCATGGGCGCTGTAAAGTAACTCACAGATGTTTACACAGATACATGTGATATTGAGTTCCCCAGGGAACGAACCTCGCCATCCCCCCTGGTGTAAAACGGTTTCTGAGGACATCGCCCGTTGCCAAGTGGTTATTGACCTGGCGAAATGAGGTCTGAGTCTGTCTCGTTCAGTCACGAGAAAGGCAATGGCAAAGGTAATGTTTGTAGGTAGTTATTGACCTGGCGAAATCAGGTCTGTCTCGTCCAGTCACGAAAAAGGCAATGGCGTGGGTAATACTATCAGCCCATGGACGTCCACCGCTGGACATAGGCCTCCCCCAAGCCTCGCCACAAAGACCGGTCCTGCGCTGCCTGCATCCAGCGGATCCCCGCGAACCTCAATAGGTCGTCGGCCCACCTTGTGGGAGGCCTACGTAATGGTAATGTTTGTAGGTATCCCCGCGCGATCGAATCTATGATGAGGAGTTTCGTAGGAGAGCCACGGTAACTGTTATAGCCTCTAAATTTATTTATTATGTTGAAATGGGATTGGTGATAGAGTTTCTCGTGAGTCCGCACTGGCAGGTATCAGCACGCTGCCCATTTCTGCCGTGAATCAGTAATGCGTTTCGATTTAAAAGCTGAGGCAGCCCGTGTGCTCTAAAATTAAGACTTGGAACTCATGTCTCAAGGGTGACGTCATTCATGTTGTTGGTGTCTATAGGCTTGTTTACCAATGGTAATTTTATTTTTATTTTTTATTGCTTAATTGGGTGGACGTTCTCACGGCCCACCTGGTGTTAAGTGGTTACTGGAGCCCATAGACATCTACAACGTAAATACCGCTTGAGATATAAGTTCTAAGGTCTATAGTTAGAACGGCTGCCCCACCCTACAAACCGAAACGCATTACTGCTTCACGGCAGAAATAGGCAGGGCGGTGGTACCTACCCGTGCGGACTCACAAGAGGTCCTACCACCAGTAATATACGCAAATTATAATTTTGCGGCGAACACTGCTTTGGCGGGGATGGTGAGTATTCTTTCGGCTGGTGTTTCAAGCGTTCGAAGCGTTATCGTCACCTGATGTTGTGCGGGTGTTGGTGGTGATGGTGGTAGTGCTGGTACTGCTCCGGTGGCGGCGGGATGGTCAGCAGAGAGGCGAGGTCCTGCCAGCGTTGCTCCACCGACATCGACCGCATCAACGACTGCCGACAAGGAGACGAGAGATAAGTGACAATTACTCTGACCGATGACTATAAGACCTTCGATATCAGGACGTGAATATCTAATTTGGACATGAGCTTGAAGTCTCGACTGGTGTTGAACAGCAACTGTTCCGTCTGGAATGCATGGGCGCTTTGCGAAAATCATAACTTTATTTTCAGCCGACAATTTGACTTTAATTATTGACACATGACATTGTCATTTCTTTCCCCTTTAAAGTCGGGAAAGGCTCCCAACTTATCTACCTTTCATACTGCTCCTTTTGTTCCCTACCTAATCGTTAATAACCTAAGGGGTTATTCCAACTTCAGACGGGTAGGTGAGCTCACGGGCTCAACTTGAGAGAATTGAAACTGGCCCTAGCAAGAGCAGTGCTTAATCTAGTGCCGGATCGGAATCGCGACCCGCTGAGATGATCGTATCTAAGAAGTCTGTAGCTACTTCGCACGTCAATTCTTTCTAGTCGACGACTTCGACGAGGACGGTGACCGGTTAGTTTTTTTTCCTTACCCGTGCTGATAAGTCTTGAGAGGCTATATCAGCTTCTCCTTGACGTGGAGTTGAGCTCACGGGGCCCAAGCCGGGTGTGTTGCTAACACTGGCCCTAGCAAGAGCAGTGCTTCGCAGAATCTACCACTGGATCGGAAACGCGACCCACTGAGAAGATCCGGCGAGAAACTCAGTGGGCTGTGTCTATGGGTTAATTCACTCGTCGAGCCTTTGGTCGCAAGCGACGGGTTCGGAGAGGACGGTGACTGGTGCTTGTGGTTCCTAAGAGCACCGTTAGTGGATCGGGAGGATCCGTAAAGACGTGTTTAGGACGACGTCGAACCGACAAGTGCTGCTCCATTACCCGTCCTATTCCTCAGCGCCCAATCATCGCTGGCTCAATGACATTCGGAAACCTATAAAACCATAGACAGCTTCGAACGTTGGCGCGAAATTACAGAACAAACATGGCACCTTTCGCGCCATCCAAAATAAATATTAGTTCTGTTTGTTTTTTTTTGTATTTTTTTATCGTTCACGACAGAATGACGCTATTTAACGGAGAAATTATTATTTTAAACGTTAAAAATCGCTTAACGCTGTTAATTCGCTATTCGCGTTAACGCTACCGATGCGTTAGAGACACGCAGCGTTTCCTCACGACGCAACCGCTTTCCAGAACGTTCTAGAGTGTTCTGGAACGTTCGATAGACGGGCCGATCGGTTCTGTGTTAAGTCTTCGTGATGTAAATGAAGAGACGCCTAGAATGGCACCCGCTTTTCTGAACGCGCACTGTTCATTGCATTGATCGATAAACTATGGCCCTTTTTTTTCACCCAACCGCAAGATATTAGTCGTGGTCCCAATTGCTTGGACCAGAACCGATGGAAGACTCAAAATTTCTCCCCACCATTACGCACATATCCCTTTATACCAGCTCAATACTCGGAGAACATTACTAGCAGTTTCAAAGCTATATAGCTACCACAGTCGTTATTCTACGCGATTGGGACTTGGATGTCGTGTCTGAGAATGAGTGGCGGCATTTACGTTGTAGATGTCTATGGGCCCCGATAACTACTTAAAACCAGGTGGGCTGTGAGCTCGTCCACCGGTCAAAGCAATAAAAAAAACTATAAAGACAAATCAGTATAAAAGATCGCGGGCACCATTTTAAGTCAAAAACCGGTCATCGTCCTCGTCGAACCCGTCGCTCGCGACGAAGGGCTCGACGAGTAAATTAACCCACTGAGTTTCTCGCCGGATCTTCTCAGTGGGTCGCGTTTCCGATCCGGTGGTAGATTCTGCGAAGCACTGCTCTTGCTAGGGTTCGTGTTAGCAACGTTCTCAGGTTTGAGCACCGTAAGCTCCTACCTACTAGTTAAGGTTACGCTGAAATAGCCTCTCAAGGCTATCAGTTTAGGCAGTAAAAAAAAAAGAAATCTAAGTCAACGAACCGACATCAAGTGTAATAACAGTTGGCGCGAAAGTCGCCCAAAATGAGGAGTACCAACAAAAAACCGAGCGCAGACAAGTGTCTCTTGTAACAGTTCTCCAGTGGAATACGGACGGATCGAATGTTGGTCGTCCACTTGTGTGACGACAAACATGACTGCTCCATATGGCTGTGTTTGCTTATGGGCACGCGAGTCACGAGAGACGGACTTGAGTTTGAAAACAAAAAATAAAACTAATATGGTATCTCGGAGACGGTCATTAGTTTGGTAGCTAAACGAAACGCAGCACGATTTGCGAGAGATGGCAGCACGATTGCGGTATCGTCGGAACTTGACTAACTTTGTGCCACGACAGAGCCTAGCCGATGGATGCGCGTAGAGGCCATCACACTTACCAACCAGCCTTCTTGAAGAGCGGTGCCTCCGTCCTAAGAACTGTCATTCGTTTTCGTTTGCTAACGTCAAGAGAAGATTTCTAAATTCTTCTAAGACAACAAACATGATTGGTGTACTCAATATTTCTCTTAGCTGAGAAAACCTTCCCTTTGTCGTCGTCCCTGGTGTTAAGCTGTTACCGGAGTCCATAGACATATACAATGCCGCCACCCACCTTGAGACATGAGTTCTAAGTCGCAGTTTTTACAGTACAACGGCTGCCCCGCCCTTCAAACTGAAACGCGTTACTGGTTCACGGCAGAAATAGGCAGGGCAATGGTACCTACCCGTGCGGACTCACAAGACGTCCTACCACCAGTCCTACCACCGTATACCCCTAAACCCACACTCGTGCACTAAACACGGACGCTAAACCGTTAATAAGCCACCGGTTACTACACGCTCGAACCTTAACAAACACTAACCTGACAAATAATAAAACAATTCACACACAACTTCGCTGTTCGCGCTTCTCTCGTAAAGTACGACTTATTGGCTTGTCATTAACAGCGGCAATAGCCCGAATTTCGGCACATTTTAGACAAATCGACGAGCATCTTCGAACGCAATCGTGTTTAATGTTTTTATGGTCCGCCATAAATGCGTCTCTGTTTGAGGATGCTACCGACTAAACGTAACTGAGATAATTTTGATAAAACGTGTGAAAGTAAGTATGTAATCTTTAAATTAATACGCGAAGCGAAAACTTTGTACCGGCTTTTTACGAAAATTGCGTGGACGGAGGAGTATGAAATTTCCCACACTTATAGTAGGTATATAGATAAATGTCAGGGACCTGAAACTGCGATACTTTAAGATATATTTTTTTTGTATGGAAACTAACGACATCTTGTAGCGGTTGCCCCTAAACTTATATGTTGTTAAAGTTAAGACATTTAATTATTAGATGCCCTGTTGTTCCACGGGGCCCGGAGAGCGCCGCCTCAGGGGGCCCACCTCGTGATCGGAGGCGTTCGCGTCGAGATTGAGGCGACCGGGTTGCGGTACCTCGGTCTCGTACTGGACGGTCGTTGGAGCTTCCGCGCTCACTTTGAGAGATTAGGTCCCCGACTGATGGCGGCCGCCGGCTCGCTGAGTCGGCTGTTGCCGAACGTCGGGGGGCCTGACGTGGTGGTGCGCCGCCTCTACACGGGGGTGGTGCGGTCGATGGCACTGTACGGGGCTCCCGTGTGGTGCCACGCCCTGACCCGCGACAACGTTGCGGCGTTGCGACGTCCGCAGCGCGCGATTGCGGTCAGGGCGGTTCGTGGATACCGCACCGTCTCGTTCGAGGCGGCGTGCGTGCTAGCTGGGACGCCTCCCTGGGACCTGGAAGCGGAGGCGCTCGCTGCGGATTACGCGTGGCGATGCGATCTCCGCTCCAGGGGGGAGCCGCGTCCTGGCGCGGCGGAAGTTCGAGCGCGGAAGCTTCAATCTCGGCGTTCCGTGCTCGAGGCGTGGTCTCGCCGCCTGGCGGACCCCGCCTACGGGCGACGGACCGTCGAGGCGATCCGCCCGGTCCTCTCGGACTGGGTGAATCGCGACCGAGGACGTCTCACCTTCCGAGCGACGCAGGTGCTCACGGGACACGGCTGTTTCGGTCGCTACCTGCACCTCGTCGCCCGGAGGGAGCCGACGCCGAAGTGCCACCACTGCAGTGGCTGCAACGAGGACACGGCGGAGCACACGCTCGCGTACTGCCCCGCTTTCGCGGAGCAGCGCCGCGTCCTCGTTGCAAAAATAGGACCGGACTTGTCGCTTCCGACCGTCGTGGCTACGATGCTCGGCAGCGACGAGTCCTGGCAGGCGATGCTCGACTTCTGCGAGTCCACCATCTCGCAGAAGGAGGCGGCGGAACGGGAGAGGGAGAGCTCTTCTTCCCTCTCGGCACCGTGCCGCCGCCGTCGGGCCGGGGGTCGGAGGAGGGCGTTTGTCCAGCTCCAGCCCCTATGAGGAGGCAGTCTCCTCCCGGTGATGGTCACGGGGCGACCTAAGGGGGTTGAGGCTGCGCCGCACGCTACCGTCACTCTAGCGCGCTGGCACCAGGAGGACGGGACGGCGCGTCGGCGGCTGCGGACTGCGATGCGGTCCGCATTTTCGTCGTCGCTGTCGTCGCCGAACATACTGTTGAAGAGCAACCCGGTCGGCGGTGTATCGCGTTCCGACCCGGCAGGCTGGTTCTGGCCCAGCGGGGTATCCCGGAACACCAGCGGCACCGCCCGGGCGGCCTGGTAGGGCCGCCGTACCGCGGAGACCGACGTCGTTGGTCGTCGACTATCGCCTCGACGACCCGTCGGTCGGGCGTCCTCGGGGTGGCGCCGCGTGTCTGGTTGTAGTGTTGACCGCGGGAACCCCCCTACTCTGAACGGGTTCTGACCCCGGACGGAGATCGGACGTCGGGTGTAAGAGTGCAGGGGAGTCGTTTAGTGGGTGGGCCCTAAAATCCTTGGGCCCGCGATCTGCTCTCAACACCTGCAGATCGTTGAGTCTCACATACCCCGCGCGCCCCCTAGGCGCGGGGACCTCGTAGGAGGTTCGGCCCCCGGCCCGGAAAAAAAAAAAAAAAAATTTAATTATTAGATAACTAAAGATCTGTTAT